TGTTTTCTTGTATTTGTGTCAGTGCTGATTGCACATAAACCACCACTACGTTGGACACTGATGTGTCACTTCATACCCTTCCACCAGTGACACATTGCACTGACATGTTAAAAAAAAAACTCTTTGAAAAGTACATGTTTAAAAAAAAATGAAGTTCAAAAATATTTTTTTTATGCCTAAAGATGAATAAAAATACTAAAAAAAACTCTGATTGAGGTTTTCATAATTCATGCATGAAAGGAATATTTAACAGTTCAAGCGTATGTAAGAGGATGGATTCTTCCTTTTATTGGGGGTGTAACTCAGTGGCTTCTCACCAAGGCTGGTGGGATTTCAGAGCGTAGTCTTCCGGTGAACATGTCACTCCAGTAGCATCTCTGAAAGACACCAAAAATGGGAACAGTTAACAGAATGTATCACACTGCAGGAGAGTGTAAAGTATAAATACTGTTGGAATGTAACAGTATTGTATATTCAAGATGGAAGAATTTTGATGAAATATTACAACTAAGCAAAAATCGTTGTAGTTTGAAACGCACTTGAAATATTAGATTACCAAGACAAATAATCTGAAAAGGTTGTTTACTAACAATCAAATCCTAATGATAAATGACGCTTTACTGTGATGGGAAATGGTGAACTATGAAAGCACCTGAAGCATGTCTTTGTTCTCCAGAGCCTTTGCAATGGCTTGGGCAGCCTCAACTCCCAGAGTGTTTCCTTCTAGGCGAAGAGCTCTCAAACCCTGGTACTGCTTGATGTCTTGAGCCAGCTGCTCCGCTGAAAGCACAGGGATCAATTTGTCAGATTTAAGCAGTCAACAAGGATCACCTTCATGTCTACAGCACACACAAGGGAATAACAGCAAAAAATAATAAAAAAATAGAGCTACATATTCTCACCTGATTCTGCATTGTCAAGCTTCAGTCCAAGACCTTTGTAGCTCAACTCTCCATCACCAACATGGGTCTTAGAGAGAGCATCAGCCAGCTGAGCAATGTCATCTGAAGCCATAGTGACTCTAGAAACATCCACAAATTACGGAGAAGGGAAAAGTGACACATTTTATAAGCTTATCCAGCAACATAAATAAGAATAAATACAAGCACAGACACAAAAAAGCCAAATGCTGTTCAGTAAGAGTTAAGAACATTCAGCGTTACAGAAATGTCAAAAAATACTGTCAACAACCAAGTTAGCTATTTAGCTGTTCTGTGCTAACTAGTAGTAGTACGCAACAAGATAAACGCTGACTCAACTAAACTAAACTGAGTGTTTTTTTCTGTCTGTTTGAGGAAAATCATCTTCTCTATGAGACACACGGCTGTCTTCAAAACGCAGACGACTTTTTAAACAAGAGAAGCTTACCAAATGGGAAAATGGTAAATGGTAAATAAAGCGACAACACGCCGCTTCTTCCGCGCGCCGGTTGCTAAATGTCGTGACGTCACGCCGCCAGGATTTTTTTTTCTTCTTCGTGGATTTTGTCAGCGTCTGAGTATTATCGCCATCTGCTGTTTTCCTCTTGTCTCTGCCGTTTTAGGCCTCGGTTTGAGTTTGAGCGTTGTCTTTTCTTCTCTATGCCTAAACCAGTAAAGGACGATTATTTTTTACCAATGAAAAAAGGCCTTCCACGAGTCAAACGTTCAGGTTATTATATTAAAATTCCAACATTGGCACACAAATTGAGTTGGTGAGGCAATTTTTATTTTCCAAGTGGTGGAAACACGCTTGTTAAAGATTAAAGGTAATTCAATATTTGAAAGAGTAAACAATAGCTGAAAATATTCTTTGTTTCTACAAAGAAGTTCAAAAACTCACAGGACAGGCTTTGGAATTGGCTGGTGTCCTGACTCATTCACGTTATAACTAATAGGGTTGCTTTGTGAGTCAATGTGGAGAAGCTTTCGGTAGGCCAGGGAGCTCCTCACAGTATAAAGAAGGTGACCCACGTAGGCAGACCTCTGTCTCCTTCATGCAAAAATTTAAAAGCCCGCACAGACAAAGACAGCTAAGAACTGCTTCTCTGTAGAAAACAAAAATAATGACTCCAAATGTCTAGGTGAACCCTTTAATGAGCTGTGATGACGTCACGAGCATGACCTCATGCTGGACAAAATAGCCCATGAGACCAAAATGTATTGAAATTT